CGATGCTTTCCATTATCATTGGAGTGGTGTATCCGCGACTGTGTGCCTGCGTGTCGAAGAATTGGTGAAGAGCACTACGCTACGACAAAGCCCGAAGGACACTGAGTAGCTGACTACTCGGCTGCTACTGCGTTCCGGGCCCCCTACTTCACCATCCGAACAACTGAACTACCATGCAGGGGCGAGTGAGATTCTCAAACAACTCGTCGATTCAACATAACGACAGATAACTAATGTTACTGGATTTGTCGGGCCTTATCGCGTACGACGCACATGATTGGATGTGTGACGTTGTAGATTAATACCTGGCGGTGAGCTATACCCCTCGGTGACATTGACTTGACTGAATCATCATGTAAGTTATCACGATTGGCTCGGTTACATGCTATGTATCAGCGATCCAGAGTGCTGGTGTTCTCGTTGTCATCTTTCTGACCATCAGAATCACCAACGCAGTGTTAATGAAAACTCGCGTGAGTTACTTTGCGAGGTGAGCTCATAATTTGAATGCGGTTCCCTTTCCCGCTCACGCTCTGCATGTGCTAGCTTTGTTGCTATTCCTTGCTTCCATAGTCCATATCGGGTTTTTTACTCTGACGTTCTCAGCGGTATGACGATATATCACTGACCTCTGCATCCGACCACGATTCGTCATTTCTCTAGGACCGATATTCCCTAAAATCTCAGCTTGTATCACCCATATTCAACACACCTGCCAGTGAGTGTGAGCAGCTGCTAGTCGAAAAATGAAACAGCTGATCACTCATGTTCGCGGTGCAGACGACGGCAGGCACGATTTCTGAGCCATGATCAAGTTGGTGAGCGCTGAAACTTAGCTTAGCCGCCTTGAAGCATTTGACGTGTCCAAATAAAAACATCTGAGATAGAAACAGCTGTAGAGGGAATCGAACATCTCGATTCTCGCACCGATTCCGTCGTCGGAAGTTGACGTCAATTCACGTTGGATTCACATCGGAGAAGGCGTCAGAATCGGCGCGAGAATCGACCCTCTAATGACGGATTTTGAAAGCAAACACAGACTTCAACTCAAACTCAACTTTATTTTAAGTTAGAAGGACGGCTGGTCTATAAGGTCACCGGGACCGGGTACAGGAAGGTCCATCTAAAGAGTCCGAGAACAAGGTTGACCTACATAATAGCGATGTACAAGTACCGGCGAGGCTAATATTATGCAACACACTGCAATTGCAATGCATCACAGCGCTGCATTACAAGTACTAGTGTCTTACAGCTGTAATTTACTCCATGCATTAAAATATTAAAATGGCGCTATATGGGCTGTAGCCTTGCTGTAGAGCGTCCCCTGTAACTTTAATTAACAACGTCCATTACCTAAGGCAGCGATAAAGCTTGTCGCCTTAGACGCCCAAACGTTGACATGAATGTTGGTCTTACATCGAACTGGAGGATAATTGATTTTCTTGCCTTTGACCTGTCCGCCAAGAGTCCTCTCTTGGACCAGAACAAGCAGACGACTGCAAGCCATCAACCATTTTCACTTCGAACATGGTGCTCCACTGGCTTCCAGGTGCTCACTACATATGTTCCGGACTCCTCTTGTCATACCAAGAACACGTCTCAATACTCTTTCGCACACGAGGTGCCAAGTTCCATCCATCTTTCCATTCGACCCCAATAAAATTCACCCGCTAGAAACCAGCAGCAGAAGAAAACTGTGACGACGGAGTTAAATGATGCCCATGTGGACTTTCCGGGACAAATAGTAGGCCAGTCAGTCCAGGAGTTCCAGAAATAGTTGTTACTCATCACGTTCATCCAACTAAAGAAATATTGCAATATTACGGAGACGGGTTTCAGCGGTTCGAAATCCTCGAGCCAGTGCTCGCCATATTTATGCTGGCTAATACGTACCTTACCGCATGTGTCACCCCGACGCGGATAAGGGAAATTAAAGATGGGTGATTTTCATCTTCACCCGCAATTATTTATTTAATTTGTCCAATAGTGCCCCGTATGGGATCTACAACTAGCTGAGCAGGCGAAGCGCCTTGAGCGATTAGAACATTTTGCAACTTGCAATGTACGCAGCCCATCAGTGATCCGGGTGATCACCGGAGTTTGCATCCAAAGTTTATGCACCGGTCGGAGCAGGTTCAATGTCCTCGTTTGACTGAACTTTGACTTTGACAGTTGATTCACCCTAGAACCGACGGGGCCAGTACTGTCTATGTGCTATAGCAAAAAGATATTGCAGTCGCGCGTCACAAAATGCGCCATGGCCCATGGGCTCCTATTTGCGTATGGCTACTTGCGACCGTAACCGTGTCTCAACTCCCTAGGTCCACTGTTTCGATGTCAATGTCGTCTACCTTAGCGGGCAGATCACTGATCCTTGTCCATCTGTAACGTTATGAGAGGAGCATAATAGGAAGGTATAAAGGATAGGCACGCCCGGAACAAGGTCACTAACGGCAGCTACAAACTGCCGAGCCCGCAATGCACGGGAAATGTGTTCGTGGAGAACGCGCCTGTCTGGCAAGTCAGGAGCTATTCGTGCCACCGCCTTATAGATCAGAAGGATACAAATACTCAGTCTCAATCCACAAATCCAGCTGCAATACGCTGAGACAGGACATTCAACAGATATGTCTGACGTAGAAACCTTCTCTGCTCCATTATCTGCAGGTAAGCCTGCATTTCAAAATCAAACCAGGTCCACTTATTGTTGGATACCAGAGGCAATCTCCTCCGCGTGGCTTTCTGCATTGATTTGTGACCTATCCAGCCCCAGTTTTATTCTCGAGCGTTCGTTTACAAACGATAGCTACTGGCGAGATCTCTTGGCATTCACTCCTGATTTTCGCACCTTGCACGCACTTCCAAAAATCCAGCAATTTTTCTCAGCTCCCGTTGCTTTTGCGCGGCCAAGTCAATTCCGACTCTTGCCAGGTGTTCGTCATCGGCGCATTAGTCCTACGAGAACGTTCATCCAGGGAATTATTCAATTCCATACAGTCATGGCGCAGTGCACTGGCGTCTTCACTCTGACTCAAAGCGAGGATTCCTCATGGAAGGCTTGGTCCTTTGTCACCATGATGGATCGCTTGTCCGGTGTGGTCGATCGTTTTGGTGTACATACGCCTCTCTGTCGTCCCGCCGAGTGGAACACTACAATGGATTACACAGCGGTCGTCGTGGGTGCAGGTCAGTGCGGTTTATCCGTGGCAGCCCGTTTGGAGAATCTCGGCATCTCTACACTTGTCTTGGAGAGATCCGGCGCAATTGGGGATAGTTGGCGTTCTCGATACGAGTCTCTGGAGACGAATACTCCCAGGGCGTTCAGTACGTGCAGCCGAAGAACTGCCAACCTCGTACTATGCTGATGTACCAACAGATCATCTTCCCTTCGTCACATTCCCAGAGGGATGCGGAAAATATACCCCCTGCAGAGACGTTGCCGACTACCTTGAAAATTACCCAAGGATTCTTGGTCTTCATGTGGTGACTTTGGCGCACATTTCTGCTGCTTCATATGACGCTTCGTCAAGTACCTGGACATTAACCATATCTATTTCTGGGAAAACATGTATTACCGTGACAACCCGGCACCTGATTGGTGCAACGGGCGTTGGTACAATGGGAGGTGCACTCCCGTTTACGCCTTCTATTCCAGGAAAAGTACGCAAATACGACTTAATTCTCTGTCGACGCTAACTCTCTGTGTGCAGAGCTCCTTTATCGGTTCTATTGTCCATTCAAGCGAATACAAGTCCTCTTCCTGCTTCAGCGCGCAGCAGAAAGTTGTCGTCGTCGGCGGAGGATGCTCTGCGCACGATATTGCTCAGGACATGGCGAATCATGGGTCTCAAACAGTACTTGTCCAGCGTTCCCCGACTGCCGTTGTGAGTCGCCAGACGATCGACCGTTTGCTTACCGGTAATCTCAGTGTACTTGCTGCGGAGATCTTCGCTCATTTGACTCGTAGGATATGTGGGGCAGGACCTTCCTCCGACAGAGATCGCCGACCGCTTCTATGTCGCTCTCCCCCTGTCAACTCTACGAAATTCCCAGTACAACGCCATGGAGATGCATGCCCATATCGACCAGTTCGTTAGCAAGATTTGAAGACAATTTCTTCATCTGACCTTTTTCCCTTAGGGACCTCAGGGATAATTTGTCCCGGAATGGTTATCTCCTTCCCGGCCCCGAGGACAACTTCTTGCCGTCTCTCCGTTCGACGAGGTGAGTATGTTTATTCTGTATGGTTCTATTTTCTTACCGACGTTCCAGGTGGCTTTTACATCGACCGGGGTTGTGCAAAGCTCATCACGTCTGGCAAGGTATTATTACTTTCACTGAGTTTCCCCACGCATGCCGCTTACTAGCAACCAGATCACTGTCAAGTCCGGGCACGAGATTTCCCACTTCACCCCTACAGGGATGGTATTCGACGATGGTTCGCGTGTGATGGCCGATCTTGTCATCTTCGCAACTGGGTATATCTTTCAAACATCTATCCGTCTGATTGCGCACTTCTGACGCATTGTTTACAGGTACTCGAAAACTACGATTAAACAAGTCGCCGAGAGTCTTTTTGGGCCCCAGGTCGCGGATGCCGTCCATGACCTTGGAGGATGGGATAGTGATTGTGAGCTTGCAGGTGTTTGGAGGCCGACTGGACGTCAGTATTCTGTTGATTTGATTGCGCGACTCGGGGATGCTGACGTTCTACTCCAGACGATGGACTCTGGTTTGCAGAGGGCGATCTCTTTGCAGCACGGTTCTACTCTCAGTTCCTTGCGTTACAGATAATGATGAGGGAGATGGGATTGCTTAGTCCAGACCAGAGAACTTACGTCCAATGCTGATGTTTACGGTCAGCTTCTCAGTTACCCTAGATTATATAGATATTATATACACGAGGAGTCCTTAGCTTCTGCCTGCCAATAACATTATTTATATGCGACATGCTTCCCAAGAACTTCAGGTCATACCTAAAAGCATTATAACATCCAACTATACCGTGGTCCGTGGAAAGTACTTTCAACTGCCAGCGTCTTATTTCTATTTGGGTTACCTAGTCAAACACAGGCTCAGGGACGCCTAGACCACAATCACGAGTGGTCGACGATCGACATCTCGATGACTTTAAGCTGGTCCATTCTTCGATCCCCAGGCTGAATGAAATCAGTATCAATATGGCGGACTTCTATGGAGGAACCTACGTTGTCCTCAGGCGGATCCATCATCTTGGCTAAATAAATTCTATCCCTATCGACCCACATCCCGATTAATTCGACAGCATCGAAGACTATGTCGGACACGACCTCGACATAAGGTAGAGACGTTATCAACGCCTTACCCTGCTTATGGATTTCTGTTTCAGACGGCTCCCTCACCACTCGTCCTAGACCTTGCCGGCGCTCAACAGCCAACGGACTGAAGTCCATCATATGCAATCTATACTGGGACCTAGAGCCTGCAGGGAATGCCTGTAGAACTCGATTCCCGCTGACGCAAAGTTTCCATGAATCCGGAAACACACGAGTATTTGTAGGGCCCCAATTTTGCCATGGTATTGTCACTGCCTTTTCACCCACGCGCTTCGAGTCGAGATCGAAGAAAATACGGGTGGAGATGACGAAGACGAGACGCGGACGGAACGTAGCATAGCACAACAGTCGATGTTCAGGGTCTGAGGTCCACATCGTTTGTTGGGCTTGCATCTGCATTTGTGAGCCATGCGCAATATCATTGATGGGTAGGTGGCACTGCATGCTCGCCACTGGAAAGGGTAAAAGTAGCATGCCAGCAATTGCGGTTCTCGGGACATATCCTCGATTGAATAGAGCTTCAACTCATCGCTGGCCATCAACAACCTATCGTTTCCGACAAAGCAAAAATCGATTGACTCTCGGAAATATGTCATGGTGTCACTGAGGTTGCACTACGTAAATCAAGGGTTAACTTTCAAGTTCAAGTCTTTCGACCAGTATGTCTAACAATGCTCACTCACATTGGACGTTGTCGAGTGTTGCCAGTCCCAAAGTTGCAACCACCAAATAACCCGAGATGTAGTGCTGATCGGATCATCGAACACCGGGGAACACT